CTCATTTACCGGATAGATTCATGCTATTTTCAATTTCCGAATACGTTTATATTACTCGTAACAATGTCCAAACGTTTATTTCCTTTCTTTTCAACATATTTGTAACATTGTTGATATGATAGAATTGTTAGCAAAGTTTAAAACGGAATGACATGTGGTTGACACTACAAACTTGTCCTCATATACAATCATGATTCCCCTTATTGCAACTGTTGTATGACATTTTGCAGCAAAATGCTAGCCAGCATAAACTTGAAAGCAAACTAGGTCCCGGGGAGATTTGAACTCCCGTCGCAGGATTCAAAGTCCTGAGTGCTAACCACTACACCACGGGACCTTATGAACTTAACTTATGTCTATTTCTATAAAATATTGCATTGTGAAATGCTGTTCATTAAAAAATGACATTTTGCATTGTCTCTGACGTACGTTGGGTCACGTTGGGTCACGTCTTATCTTTTATTTGATCCATTATCGATTTCCGTAACGTTTCACAGCCTTTCCAATTTCAGAGTTTTTACGTTGATATAAGAAATTTGTTTATGATAGCTCAGCTTAATCTGATTACTAGCGTATAAATTCGAAAATTTTCAGCACTGAAATTCTCCTCCATTTCCTGAGGGAAATATCGAGAACTCTCAGATGGTGTCCGAGATATCCATCCTTATAATGTTCCGAATAACGAAACATAGCCATTTAAATTTCCCTCATTTTTTCTGAAGGGAAAATTATCGTCCAACATTTCGGCGAAGATTGCTTCTAGAGGATGATGGCACAGATACCGGAAGATTATTTCCGGGATAATATTTGAACAATCGAAAATTTGTAGGAAGTAAACAAACAATCTCTGGGAAGTTCTATGATTTGAGTAAACATTTTTATATTCTTACGCTACCATATTGGAAATATAATAATTAACCTTCCTTAACCGGATACTGTAGGTTTATAATTCTATGATGTTAAGAATCGACGGTTTTAAAGTTTGTGAGGAATGAATGATAGCAACGTATTGCTGATATGATAAAGAAGTGATGCCGAGATGTAGCTACAAATGATAAGAGTGAGAGAAGTGAAAATGAAAATAAACCAAGAACCGGATTATCCCCGAATATGTCTAACTGTCCAATATCCAATGTCCTCCCCCATCCTATCAGTTACCTCAGGAAAAATTCATGTCAATCCATTCCCAGATGTTCCAACTTTCTGGTAATTCTTTCCTTTTTCATGCAGACATATGTTCAACAAGTTGAGATATCATCGGACGAAATCCGATGAAATTGTGAAATTGAAAATTGAGGCGGGAATGCGGGGATACCTCATGACCCTCTTCTTTTCTCCTCAATTCTGGCCCTTGACCTTTATTCATTACTCGAATATCTGATACCTGGATGATCCTTACATTGACGAAATCATGTAAGCTATTATTTTAGTAACATATTAACTAGACCGCTTCTAATAGTTATTCCTTATGTAATTCGGATGATCGATTATTTTGATTTGGAAGATGTCCACTGCGACTGTCACTCTTAAATCTAACATTGCGGGATATTTCAAGTAGTTTGTCAATTTGAAATCTTATCGAATCAAGCTTTCATTAATTAATGATTTATTTCTGAATAAAATTTGCATAATAAGTACTGTTCTACTAACTGTTTGCAAAATCAGAGAGAGGAAAAAACACTGTATGTGGAGGAAATATAAACATGTATTACAGGAATATCATTTCATCACTCTTCCACAATATAATTAGTTCCAAATAAACTTTCCAGGTATAGGCGGTAAATGTATCCAGTACAAGACACTCTTATTGGAAAGCATTACATTGTGGATTGAGAGAAAGGTTTAAGGAAACTTTTAGGAGAAAAATTTTGAAATCGATAAATGGAAAACAAAGGATTAAAGTTCAGTGTATTTTTGATCTTTTAAACATAATTTCTAAGTGAATTCCCGGTATTCCTCATAACAAATTATTTATATAATAGTTTGTATATACAACTAAGTATAAACAACTCGATGATTATACTTTATTTTACTACCTTACTATATCTAATATGTTTACCTCCTATTTCAGACAATTTTTCTAAAGTTTTTCTTTACGAATTTGCAGTTTGACAATTAATTAATTAGTTAACAATACTGGTTTTAATAATAATAATTTAATTAAAAATAATAATGATTCATCGACGTTAGCTAGACTTCATCATTCTTAAACAAAATACATGCGTCCTTTAAATTTCTCCGAAACCGTAACATATTCCTGTAGTGCTGCATCGCTATTACTCATTATTGATTGTGTACCACCGTCCTGAAAGATAAATGGAGAAGTGATCAATTTGCATATTCTCACAGGAAATTTTAATTTGAAGAAATAATTTCAGTCATTATCATTCTTATTCAAATGTTAAAAGATTTAAATAAACTTTGAAAATTAACTAAAATTTAATCAAATAAATTAAAATTTAATTAAATAAATTTTAAACCAAAAAATAATATACTTTAATGCTTTCTGCATCTGAAAGATCACCATCATCAACATCGACAATACGTCGTAAAGTTGTGATACGTCCTGCCGAAATTAACGATGATAGTGATGAGGAGATAAATGAAGCAGCATCTGATATTACATCTGATTCGTATACACCCCTGGAAGCAAACAAGCATTCATTTTCCTAAAATTAAGAAATTTAAAAATTCACGTGTCATATTATTAGTGTCATTAATGTTTTCGTTAAAAAAAAAAAAAAAATACATTTTTCGTTTGAGATGACATCGTGCACGTGTGGCAACAAGATCGGCATAGTAAACCGGTGCCGGAATGGAAACTGAACGAGCGCAGCGTCCGTACGTATGACACATACTAAATGTTATTGATTGAAGCTCATCTGATGTAAATTTCGAATCATCCCAAAGAACATGATAACGAGCTGGCCTAGAAGTACCCTGAAAATTCAGTGATGATATAGCAGCCGCGAGTTCTGAATGTTTTTAAAAACCTATATATTTTTAGATTCTAAATTAGCTAGAAGAATTCTAGTTGTGTATGTGAGAAATTTCTAGTCTTTAATTAATATTGCATCAAAGTTTCTTTTTTTTTAATTTGTTAACTTTAACTTTGATTTTGTTCAAATAATTTCTTTGAAATGCAACGAAGTTTATTTAACTTTATCGAAAACAGTAATAGTCGAAAAAAAAAAATGAAATGAGAGTTTAGTATATTTACCTGAATACCGAAATGTGAGCAGAGATAGAAGTCGAAACCTTCTGGCGAAACGATTCCTGTATCAACTACTGTACCTGGTGGAATATTTTTCGCTTTACCAACTGCATCACGTGAATACTTGCAAAACATTCGTGCATGATGACGCTTCTGTACGACAATATACGTAATTGGTGGTCGATAATCCGGTGATAGCATTAAGCATGCTGTACGAATACCTTGCATTTCTTCGCGTAAAACCTACAATTTTTGCTCATTTACTTTTTTGAAGGATTTTACTTTTATAGTTTTTTGCGCCAACTTTTCCAACTTATCAAATATCTTATCACTTCTGATTTAGAATGAAACAGAGATCATTGTGATTTTTTGTCACTACTATTAAAAACAGATGAAAATAGTTTTACTTCACTGAATTGTCCTTCAGAAACTCCGTCACGATAAACGATGATACGAATTGGTTTCTGATGTGTTGTTTTATAGAAACTGACAAGACGTTCACGGACAGCATCCAAAAGATAAACAACCGATTCGCGACATTTACGCTGGATTTTGATATTTGCACCGTATGATTGTGGATATAAGTCAAGATTAGCCACAATCTATAGATGAATATGTTGACAATTTCTAACGATTGTTCGTTAAATTGATATGCTCAAACTTTATAACTGCTAACTTAATTATGAGTAAATTTCAAGTCAAGAGAAATTAAATTCTTGAATATGAAAAAAAGAAAAGATAAAATTTGAATATACCGCCGCAACAGATGGGATATTCTGTCGCTCCTCATGTTGTGTCGGATGTGTGACATCAATTCCGATGATAAGAGTAGGAACATCAATCAGATATTTCTGAGTAATCGAATCGGCAACAACACGTGAATTAATACCACCTAATTTCATGTTTATTTTCAGGATTATATTACAGCAAGTAGCAGGTGATGGACGTGTGACATTTTTCATCAGAATGCATTGTGACATAATTCCATGTATCATATCGCTGCATTCTTTTACTGTCACTGAAAGTATTTTATTTTCACAATTTCATATGATATTCCATTGATAAAGAGTTATCAATCTCTTATCATTTTCGTTCTCTATTAAAGTTACTTTATCAATGTAATTTGTTCATCCAAACTAACTGATAATAAAGTATGTGTTGCAAAATCTTTGTTGTTGTTTAAAAACATTTAAAATATCTGAATGAAAATTCAAAGAATATGAAGTTGAAATGACTCTATGACCCAACTGTAAAGGTCAGCATTTTTGGCTGGTAATACCACAATAACAAGGTCACATGCAGTTCCTGTTTGTTTATATTCGGTAGCAATTTCACTGAACAGAATCACAACATCTTCTTTTGTACGGCCATACTTTACTAAGTCAGGCCAACTTGGGAATTCCATTCCCATTTGGCTAGCTTTCTGGGTAAGTGCTTGACAAAAGATCCTAAATTGCTTTTTTTTTTAGCCAGAAAATAAATAATTAAAATTTGTCGTGGTGATTGGAAGAATTAGTAATTGATAATTTATATAGAATAGATTAGAATAGATTTCTTATATTGTTTCATCACTAAATGATGATAAGCTAAAGATAAAATTAACTAAACTGTAAATGATTCTGCTCACGTGGACTGACAATTGCTATCATTGAATAGCTACGACAACTAGCCGGCAAATAGAGCTGCTGATTATCTATTGACCAAGCACCATCTTTCGGTGTAACAACCGGATCCTGAAATAGTTCGGGTCTTGGAATGTGCTTTCCAAATATTTTGGAAGAATTCATTCAAGTGGAAGTAATGTTTAAAAGAAGAGGTTATTGATAAGATCAAAAATCAAACCGTTTTACAATTATTTTCGCCAAAAAGGATACGAGGTGGTGCTAGAACTCGACCGATCGTTTCAAACATTTTTGGATTGATTTGTAAGCCAAATTCACGCAAGAATGGATCATACTGGAATCCAGCTTGCTCACACAACGATGAAATACGTTGTTCACGTGAAATTGCATCAACAGCTGCCGCCTGAATTATTCTTAAAACAGGATTTTTCGCAGCTATAAATATGCCATTAGTAGTAACATGATCAAAAATCAACCGTTGATTAGAAAGTATGGTGTATAAATATCAGAAATATTAAAATTCCGTCTGTTTAGCGTATAATTTAAAGTATATAATTTGAAAATTAAATATTTAAGAAGGAACTGAAATAATTGAAATGATTTTAGAAATGGGTCGTACTCGGATAATTGCCGATGTTTGTTTCTCGTTCAATTTCCTGTTGTATTTCTGTGGTGTATCAAGCATACAAACTTCCAGAGGAAAGTAAATATTACGTGTTATTGGACCTACGTGAACGCATGGCAATTTCGGATATTTTAGCTCACTGTAACGCTCACGGAAATAATCAGCCACTGTCATACGTCGTTCATTACCATCCTCATCTTTGCCTTGAAACCTAAATTATAATTCATAATTAACTACTAATAACTATCAAGCTTGTCTTAAATGTAAATTTTAGCTAAGCTTCTGATTTAACGAATAACTTAAGGATATATAAAATTGTTACGACTACCAGTTTTCATTCCATTTTAATAAAAGAATATGATAGATACTTAAGAAAAGCTAAGTAAGTTATTTTAGAATAATTTAAAAAATAGTACGAATACCGTACCAAAGTTGATCAGCTGGAAGTTGAAGACTATTGATACGATAAACACGAATGATACCAGCACGATGTGAAACGCGTACTTTAATTCCTTTTACAATATCACCGAAAATTTTTAACTCATGACTGCTCAAGGAGAAATCTTTGTGCAACTTTTCAGACTAAAAATTTTTTAAACTTTCAAAAATATTTAATGTAAACAAGAAATTCACAAGGAATTGGAACTGTGTTGATGTTAACAAGTTTGAATAGATCAGCGTTCGTTTTACTCAAATTTAAATAGATGACCTTTGCTCTATGACAAATATGATGGATATATGATTTGGAAAAAAAAAAGATAATAGAAAGCAAAATTAGGTGGATATAATATAAAGCCATTTACATATTTAACTGATATGAACTAATGCAAGAATAAAAAGAAAACATTACAGAAAGTGCCCCTCCCATGTAATCATAATTATAATCACGACGTCGACTGTTCATATGACGTGAGTAGGATGTGAGATTGTTACAACCGCCACCACAACGGGATCCACCACGTACATGACGTGATGTATCCCGATGATCTTCCTTAGAACTTGATCGACAGTAATGACCTGACTTTTCATTTAACACTTCACACATAAATTGAACCAGAGAGATATGCGCTTTGTAAAATGCCGTATGCGTCACTGTAACAAAAATATTCCCCTTCTTTTTAACGCCAATTAATGGTGATGAATCCGGAACAATACCGACAATCCGGAATAACACACGGATATTCTTCATTATTTTTGCTTTCCCATTTCCAGTCTTTTCTGGTTATTTCACTAACTTATTAATCATGAAATGAATTTTCAACAAGTTGTTAAAATCCATAATTTTATTTATGATGGAGAAATTGGCTGACCATCAATGTTAAGAAGCGGTTTCCATCCAGCTGCTACATGCGCAGAAGAGAAAAATCCAGTCCACATCTCTTTACCGCCTTCTAAATCCAATGCCGCACCACCATTCAAAGGTAAACGATAACTCGATGATTTATAAACGAAAAAATTTGCAGAATTTCTGAAAAAGAAATTGCATATTTTAAGAATAAAAAGTGTGCCCAAACAAAATTTATAAACAACTCGTGTTTTTTTTTTATTATATGATCCCTGACTTATGAATTTTGAGAATGTGAGAGATTATATTTGCAAATATAGTATATGTATCCTAATGTGATATGTGACACACCAGTGAAATCGATGTTGTTAGTTTACCTTCTTAATCATTAAGATTCAAAACAGAAGTAAGGTTAAAGTTGAATTTCTGTGCTTTTAGGATAGAAATTCGAATTAATTTTTAAAAAATATCAAAAAAAAAAGAACGAGAAAAAGATCAGCCGAACTCGACATATGGACAAGTAAGTGATTGACGAAAAACAATATCAATAATTTGAATTGGAGTTAGAATTCTTTCATCTAAATTATTCGTTCTTGTGCGTCGCATTTCAATAAGTACGGGACCAACACATTGAAATGAGACTGCGCAACGGGTACGCTCTCGCGAATCTTTTGCCAGTGACACATCACTCTCCAACCGAATCTGCAGTTTTATCTTATATCATTAATTTGGTCGAATTTTTAATTTAACTATAAAGGATTTTCACTCACAGATGGACGTCCTTCTGGGAATTCAATACGTGTCGGAGTGTACAATTGATGGGCTCCATCATAAGCAACGGCGAATTTATTAGGGAAATATTGGCGATGATCAACTATAACTTTCCAGAAGATCGCACGATTTTCCTCCCTATATTTTCCTTTTTGCTTAGATTCTTGAATATTTACGTGCATCTCATGTATAAATGGAAATAATAAACAAGGAAGGTAATTTATTGAGAAATCTTGCGCCATATTGGAAATTATCCACATATTTGCACATTTGCATATTTTATCAAAATTAACAACTTGAAGAGTCATTTACTATTTTTATTTTGTGAACCTTTACAAAACGGTTGCTCTAACCAACTCTATTCATCAAAACTATTAAAAGAAATGGGCTTTGCAAATACTTATTTCGAAATCCCTGGAAAAAGGAACGACAAACCTATCAAGTCTTCTGGATCCCGGATGATGAATTTCGACATGATACTGCGTAACCATCATATTATTATTAGCAATCCCAACTTCGAAAAAATTCGAGCGAACTGCAATCTGACGTCCAGCACGACCGATATCTGGCCGAGATGCCATCTCACGAAGATTCATGCATGCTAATTCCTTCAATTATACAATTGAAAACACCTTTGATAACATGTACTTTTATCTATTTATTCTCGTCTAACGATGAGAAAAAAAAAGGTTTGTCTGTATTTTAAAATATTTCGATACCTGAAGAAGTGGTGGGGAAAGATCACGTGGTGATCCAGTGAGACCTGATCCACATCGAGATCCTGATGATGGTGAGCTCTTACGCTGTGAACCGGATAAATGCTCAGGTGAATGAATCCCTGAAGCATTTTTTATAACACTAAAATTTCCGCATTAAAAAAAAAAGGAAAAACGGAAGCTAATATCCAACTGTACGATATGAAAACAATTCTTTTTAGAAAAATTTTATTGAAGTAAGGAATCAAAGCCGATATCCGAACCAGAATCTCCCGTATCCTTATCACGATTTCCCATGAGACAAGGACCCATTATCTATCGAAATACGTCACCGTACGATACAATATGAATAAAAGCAATGAGCTTTTCAACAAATTTCTCATTACTTATCAACCATTCTTTTAATTCATTTTCGAAAACATTTAGAAATTTTAATTTAGGCAAAATTTTTGCCTAAATAAATGGATCTCATTCCATCCTTTTGAACTTTCATTCCACCAAACTACAATCACCTTTATGTCTAACATTTACAAAAGTTTACCGATTCTAAGGTAAAAATAGTAGCAAAATTCAAACATCTCTTGCTTTACGTCTATAATAGTCAGGAAAGTTAATCTGTTGAACTCATTTCTTAGCGATATAGATTTATTCGGGATCTAATATTGTTCTTACACAATATTACTAGTTAAAAAAGGGTAAAATATATATGTATATATTACACGATGAATTTGGTAAACAGTGATAAATGAGTTATCAATAAGCAAGCAATATGATTAACTAACAAATTCCTTATCATTGCTATCGATAATAATTTGATTGTCCGTTAGTTGATAGATCGTTGAGTTGGGGATATGTTACGGGAAATATATTTAGCAAATAGAAAGAATATCGTAGTTTGTTGTTCAATGGTGGCGGATATGCGAAGATGTCGTTGTTTGTAGTTTTACTTGTGGAGGATAACCGAAGAGGATGATGTATTGTATGCTTGATTTTAAACTAAACTGTTTCGGATTTTTCTTTATATATACAAACATATAAAGATTAGAGAGTAGTTTTGTAAGCTCCATCAGGAGGTTATCATGGAGATATGGCTGTCCTTTGACATTATCCATTGTGTAAGTACAATAGATATTATTGTCCATGGTGTAGATACTGAGATGTCTTTGTGTTATGCTGTCCGTTGTTAGCTTATATTCTCTTCATTGCTTTAATTTTACTTATTGTAGCTTTAATTTTGGTAATCCAACAATAATAATTGTAATTTTACGTCACCTTTACGTGGATTATTCAATGCTGTGCTTGGAATAATGTTAATTAAGCGATATATCGCATTTTTTTAGTAAAATGATTAGCTTTTTTTTCCTATTTTAACTTCAGTTTTTTCTTCTCAATTTTTGACTTCAATTGTTTTTTTTTGGTAAAAGTAGTGCGTTTCTTTTTTTTTTTTAAATATTGCTCAGAGCAATATCATAAATGGTGACAATAATCATTTCCGGTAAGCCTTGTATATGAACTAATAACTTTTTATAATAAACAAATTGCGCATTATGCAACAAAACACAATCATTCGGAAAATTTCTTCAAAATTTAAAAGAAATGAGAAAAAAATTGGGAGAATGGAATGAAATGTATGAATTTTTATACATTTCGCATAAAAAAAGTAAATTAGTAAATTATTTAAGAATAAGAGTCATATATTATTACTGAAGTGCGAGCAACTTGTGAGGTAAAAATGAACAAATTCAAAATGAAGAATAATTTCCCAATGCATTTTCCTTGAGGTTCTTCATGAAAGTTAGTTAACTGGTCAGAATTTCTTCACGAAAGTTAGTTAGTTAACTGGTCAGGATTTCTTCACGAAAGTTAGTTAGTTAACTGGTCAGGACTTCTTCACGAAAGTTAGTTAGTTAACTGGTCAGGATTTCTTCACGAAAGTTAGTTAGTTAACTGATCAGTCAGGATTATTGATATCCACTCATGTTCCGATCCACTCAATCAATGCGTACTGGTTATTTTATTTTGTTTGCGTCAAGTTTTTTACAATGTTCAACTTAAGAATAATGGAAAGAAATTGCACAATAATGTATTGTCCTT